ACAGTCCCTTTTCGTAGACATATTTAGACTGTGTATATTAAGTAAAAATGAGTTTTTGATGCTCGAACTGTCCGTTTTCAATAAATTTAACTATTATTAGATGATTTCTAGTGTTGGTTTTTAGTTGTTTCTTTACATGTTTGAATTAATCCGTGTGTAATCAATGGATATAATAAATTTGAATGTACAAATCGTGACTCGTGCATGTGGTGTGCGTATATTCTTATCCTTGTCCATATATAGATGTCAAACTAAGGACTCGGGTATTACGATTTAACACCTTTTATTGGAAAATGTGATAAGACCAAAAAATAACTAAAGCGTCTCCAAATATTTCTTAACTCGCAAAATATTGATTTGACATTCGAAAAATAACCTTTCTTTTTGGCAACGCCTTAACCACTCGGCCATCGTGACTTACATGATAGCGTAGGGACATTATTTCGTTACTAATCTCACAGTGAGGTAAGTCTCGCTTTAATAATGAAGGTGGAGGTCATTGGCTGACAACATATGTAAACCTCCTGTTCGTATTTCGATAATTGAGCAATTCGTGTAAGTATTTGCTTTGTCACGTCGTAAAACCATTTGCAAGAATGTAAACAAACTATAAACACATTATTCCACATAGCGACGTTCATGGGAGCATGAGTCACATTTCCGAATACGTATCACCACTGACCAATGATCTAGATGTTTATATTGTACACAATAATGTGTTATTGATAGTCAAACAATATATTTACAACTCGAGCTGTCTGCAGAAATATCTTTATTTGAACAATTTACAAACTATAATTCAAGAACATTTGATAAACACGATGTTTTTAAAAGATATGGGGCAAATAGTAAAATCTTTTAACATAATCTCTTATACAGCTAAACTTCTATTCGTTGTCAGCAACCCTGTGCTTCTATATTTTGTAATATGTTTACACACATATAAACACGTTTGTAAGAACACTGGCGAAACAGGCATTGGCACCAACTTCTTTGGTTCCTTACAAAAATAATCCGTTTGATTAAAAAGGTATTAAATCTCACGAATTCGATGACATTTCAGCAAAATACTACAGGACTACTGTCAAATATCGCAGCTTAATCATATATCAATGATGTTTGAACAACACTTTAGGCCTACACGTAATTCAAAATGAAGGCAAGGGAAATCATTGATAAAAGGAATGCCTGATATGAAGGGAAAATACAAAATGATATCTGAATTTATTTTCAATAATCATACATATGTAAATGTTAAGTTTTGGGTACATGATTAAATATGAAAAGATGTGAAGATTATTATATTTTGTGTTGTAAGACGTTTCATGTATAAGGCAAAAATCTCACATTGATGCATTGCCTCAAATATGCTAAACATACATACTGATTACAAATGTGAAAGTTCACTATGAGATAGAATTGTAGAATTAACAATAACATTCCAATAAAGGTGTCGTTGATGCATTGACTTCAAAATGATTAATATAGAAACTGACTACAAATATCAAAGGTTGGAATGTTAGAATTGATAAATACACGTATTTGAGATAAAAAAAAAAAAAAAAAAAAAAAAAAAAAAAGAGAGAGCATGTTTTCGGGAAACTTTATTAGCCATTCAGACATCATAATCTCGATTACCAGTGGGAAACACGTTCGTCAAATAAACTTTTAAATACACTAATCCACATAAGAGAATGTGCTTCCGCTCGTTTATATTAATCACATATCTAAATTATAACTACTGATTTCCAAAAGCGTGTCATTAAAAGTTAAACAATAACTCCATAGGAAACATAATTCTTCGTATAAAAAAGTGCATATTTATACATCAGCTGAAAACAAATCTTGGTCAAGATAATTTATTGATACAGAAAACGGTGCTACCTGGGCAAATAGGGTAGTGCCCCGTTATCCGACGTTGTACATATGAATACATGTCACAATCAGACTATATTTTCTAGATTAGTTAAATTCATTGCAACCTAGTCAATAATACATTTACTAATGAATATCAACATGATTACATTACATATTTACAGTGTTACATTTAGAAGGCACCTTATATGTATAAAGCTATATGGAACTCTTGTTTATCATATGGAAGGAATGTTCAATGAATACCAATTTTAAAGGAAACCAGTTCAATGAGTATTTCACTGAAATTGCTTGTAAACTGACGTCTCAACATGAACATTTTACGGCCTCTTTCCAGAAGTTGAAAGAGTATACATGTGATAAACTCAATGATAATATCAACTTTGTCTTTCTCAATGTGTATCATGATTTTGTAATTAAGTTTGTGAAAGGTTTGGACGAACATAAAGCTACTAGTGTTGATGATGTTAGTGCAAAGCTGTTGAAAATAGTTCATGCTGAAATAGCATCGTCACTTACCTATATTATAAACCTAAGTATCCGGTCTGGTATATTTCCAACACAGTGGAAGTTGGCAAGAGTTACCTCCCTTCATAAAAGTGGTGGTATTGCTGATGTTAGCAACTACAGGCCAATATCGATTTTGCCAGTACTGTCTAAAATTATTGAGAAAGATGTTCACAGTACTTTTTACAAATATCTAACTGCTAATGATCTTATAGTATCATCGCAATCAGGTTTCCATGAAAGTCTCTCATGTGAAACTGCATTTTTGAATATTGTAAACTCCTGGGCAAAGAACATAAATGATAGTCTTGATACAAGAGTCATACTTTTAGATTTTAAAAGGGTGTTTGATTTAGTAGACCATGCTGTTTTAGTTAGAAAAATCGCTCTGTACGGAATGGAACAGAATTCATTGTCATGGTTTAAATCTTATCTAGACAACAGGACTCAAGTTGTATCTCTTGCAGGTCATATGTCAGAAGGCCGTACAATTACACATGGTGTGCCTCAAGGGCCAATTCTTGGTCCTCTTATGTTTTTCATTTTCATAAATGACTTGCCCCTACATGTTGTATCTGACACTAATATGCATGCTGTTGTTGATAAGTCGTTAGATCACATCAACCGTCTATTGCAATCTGATTTAGAAAATCTTAGTGACTGTTGTATTGAAAATAAAATGATGATAAATGTCAAGAAAACAAAATGTATGTGCATTGCCTCAAAACAAAAGCAAAAATGAAACTGTTTAAATTTAGAATTATTTATGTGCAATTAACCCCTTGAACAAGTATGCAGTGGAAAACTACTTGGTGTGAATTTTGAAAATGGATTGATATGGGGAAGTCATGTTGTATTTGTTTTATCTAGAATAAGGCAAAGGTTAGGGTTATTGAGACGTATAAGCCCATATTTACCTAAGGAAGGAAAGCTGAACATTTTTAATTCTTGCGTTTTCCCACATTTTATGTATTGTAGTACGGTATGGTCAGTGTGTACCGCAAATGTAATGGGCAATCTGCTTAAGACTCAGGAGCAAGCAGCTAGACTAATTTTAGATGTACCATTTGACACACCTTCTAGGCAAATGTTTGAACTTCTTATAAGGATGCCGATTGACAAATATTATAAATACAGAAGGTTGGGCATGCTATATAAATGTCATCATCAGGTAGTGACTGAATATTTATCAAATAATGTGTCTCTTGTGTGAGATGGTCACTTTAGGAATACAAGATATGCTATTGAAAATATTTTTAAATTGCCAAAACATAGAACTGTCTTTCATTCTATACACTTTCTTATTGTCAGTATTAACAACTGGAATGTTTTACCCAGTGACCTAAAGAAAATAGACAATTTCACCACTTTCAAACGAAAACTTACTAAATACTGTATAGAAATGTCTTAGATTTTAATGTGTTTCTCCATAACCAAAACTTGTTACTTTCTAAATAGACTTCTTATCTGAATTATATCAATATTTTAGATTATGCTATATTAGTGTATAACTATGTCAATTTTTATTGTTTGCTATATTAGCATGTATGTATATTACGCACATGCCATTTAATTCATGAAATACCTTTGCATGCAACTTTATGCATTCTGTGATACTTTTAACTAAGCTAATTGTGATATAACCTTATATATGTCAATTGCATCAATATATATCTAACTTTTATCTAGTACATGTATTTTACTAGCAAGATTACCATGTTTATTTATATATATCGATTGCGTAAATATGTTATTTTATCTAACAAATGGATTTTATTAACAAGAGGACCATGTGGAAGATTAGCCTTTGGCTAAACATGTGTTTTATCCTCAATAAATAAAGTTTATTATTAAGGAAAAGCTTAATAATGAATACATTTAATACAGTGAAAAGATATTACGTATACACTCGCCAATATCTTGTTTCGTTAGAGCTTTTATAAACCGTGTTTTGTGGTGGTATTAAATCAATTGGTTAGAATACATTTGCTTTGTATTTCCATTAAGTTTACGTTTAAATCGATAAGGAAAACAGTCAAGGGTATTTAAAGTTGACTGATTTATATGTCTTAAAAAGCAAATCATACCAGTTTTATTCTGATAACCAGGTACAATATATTTGAAAATTAAAAAAAAATAGTTTTTTGCATTAACTTGTAATTATTTATCTTTACTTGAATTAAATTTAGATGTCTAGCATTTATTACAAATATATAGTGCACTCATACACACAACATTAATGATACTGCCAACACACAGTTTTGTACATTATGCAAACACAACACGAAGAATGTATAAATTTTACCGCAAACACATTTAAAGAAAATCTTTTCCATACATTATTTGAAGGTGAGAAAGTAGTGAAAGAAAATATATCATAAAACAAGTTCTTCAAATATGTATGAAATTATCTATTATGCATGTCTATGACATGTCAAATATGTAAATAAGTGTTATTTGTATATGTGTACAGATAATGGCTGGACATTTTTTTAGATCATGCATTACAGTATTTATCGGAATCGACGTATATGAGTTTTAAAATGTATGACACGGAAATAAAACATCAATTATATATATCTATATATAATATAAGTTATTACTATTATGGGATAATTTATCTAAGCAACAATAATATTGACAAGTGATAACTATAGACTATGCATTAATTTCAGATAGTTTTTTTGATATCATACCATGTAAAATGATCGTATCTTTTTCATTTTGGAGACCGCAGTAGAAATAATCATGTGTATTTCCTGTGTTATCCCATTAAAACATGCATTATCCAGGCTCTGTACCGCTGTGTAATGAAGCAAAGTTAACCAATTATATCCAAATATATAAACTATGATAACCACCTGGTACACGTTTCTTTAAATTATTAAGCTTCACTTGAAAAAATAATGGTAACAAATCCACAAATGTATTAATGTGTTAAAAGTTGAATTGACACTTCACTTTTTAATAAAATTTGTATTCAGAAAGGAGTTTTCATAACAGCTGGAGACCTGTCTTCCTGTTACGCTGAATGGTGTTGGATTACCTCCCTTTATATTAGGATGAGACCAGAACAAGCGGAACCCTTGATCGCTTAGTCCACGTAATGCTGTCATTTTTGAACGAAAACTTTCATCAGGATTAGGGCTACTATGGAATTCAAAATTCAGTTGTCTAACGTTCTTCAGCACTCCAGAGGCTACCATATCAGGAATAGCTTCCCACTCTGAAAACTCTATGTCCATTTTGATAATATCAATGGTTTTCTGAAATGAGAAAGACAAAACCTGGTTGCTTAATGGCATAATTTATAATCTCTAGTCTGCATTGTTCTCCTGCTTAAATATCGGTTACAGTAACAGTAATCATCAAATTATTATTATTGCGAACATATTCAACATGCTTGTAGGGGTTAATCCGTGTGTGTTTCCCTTAGTATTGGTGTTATACACTCTGAAATGTATGCCAAATAATTATCTTATTATGTCCTTAAATGATAACATTCATCAATCTGTATATCAACATATTTTCGAAAGTTGTCCCAAAATTTTGAATTCAGACAGAACATTTATATCAAACATACCAGTACACCCTAACATTTGTATAATCCACTACAGATCGTATCCTTAGCAGTAGGATATTATACACAACACTTACCCCAGTGTGACCAAGCATATCCATAATCTCCTTAAGATTCAACATGTTCCATTTCCCTTGCTTTCCTGCAGGCTTGCCCCACAGTCCCAGATTATGAAATGTGATTTTGTCTGATCGCTTCTGATCTGGCTTTCCAATACTTTAAACAGGAAATGAAAAAAAAAATACATATAATAGTTTGTCATATATTATCAGGCAGTGTAAAACACCGTTACACATACATTAGTCACGCATATCATAAACTTAGAAACTTTCGTAATAATATATTACTTCTGTAATATATTACATGTTATTGCAGTTTTCGGTATGTGTCTAAAAAAAGGCAAATTGAGTAAAGTATGTATTACCTTGTCACCAGTGACGACGTCATGTTGACAAACAATTATAAAAATTAATATATCACAGTTTTCATTGTTATGTTCAGAAATAATTTATCATCTTTTCAATTTCGCGGAACATGGAAAACATACAGATTGCATATGTATCTACGTTAATGGTATTTATACTTTACACTACGACTTACATATATCACTAGATCCGAATAATAATGGAAAATTTCGTGCGTAAATATTCCTGTTTACAATAAATATCATTGTGCCTTAAAACCAAACAATCAACAAAATTATAAAAAGTCAACGAAAAAGGCAAACAAGTGGCTGTTCGCCTTTTACGCTTTCAAGTCATTATAATATATACATCTGTTTTACGCTTAAAATAAACGTAAAAATCGTTTTTATTTCATCTGATGCTAAGTATCTGAAGTTCGTTTTTAATGTTCCTGCATATCCTTAGCTTTGTTCGATATTGTCAATTTTTTATTGGGGTAATGTAATCTTAACTATTTAAAGCCTAGCTTGCTTTGACATCATGCTTTAAGCATAACTATATTATATCTTAAAGGCGTTTCTATTTAATGTGAGATTGATGAAATCACGCTTGCTATTCTTTGGAACCTCATAGCTTGCATCGAAGAAAAAGAACCATTCCAATCACACACAAGCTATTAACTGTGAAGTACACAACATTGAAGTATGTACACAAGCACAAAAAGCATTGCAAATAACAATAGGATTTCAAGTTGCAAATTACATCTTAAAGCAATCTTTAAGTCTGTCGAAGTATTGCAAATGAGGTTCAAGTCAATTTTGACAGTTTATAAATGAAGTTTACCTTGGATCAAAAGAATGTACATCACATCCATAAATCTTGGACACTTCGTCCTCAAACGACCAGTCTCCACCCACTCCAAAAGAGTAGACAATACATGGTGAGGAGGGTCTATACTCCGTATCGTTACAGACGTCCCATCCTCCGTCGTCCACTCTCCCAATCCGGACCACATTCTTACAGTGTACTTGTGATGACATCAGTAGCCTGCTCAATAGCATCAACAGTTCTATGTCAAACAAGGTTCTTACTACAATTATCAACAAATAGTTTTCTCGGCAAATGTATAGTCACTATTGAGGCAAATTTATAGGGACTGAATTTCAGGAAACATTACACTGCGAGAATTTATTCAACTAGTTAGTATTTCAACAAGCACGAGGCTCAGGAGCCGTGATTGCTCAGCTGGAATGTTTCAACCTGTTGGATGCGATACAAGTTTATAAAAATGAGTATAAGAAACTCGTTTAGCTCGATATCTCGACAGTTTTGTCGTTCTACATCTTCAGCATCTTTGTGAAGTTCTATAGGAAGAATCGAACATGTTTTGCTGATCTGAACTGAGATTGTTATTATAGCAATTTATTCACTTCTATCACATCCTACGCCGAATGGTCAGGTAAACTTTTTAAAATTCCCTCCAATGTTTATACAATCGGAAGACTGTCACCGCCCGGGTTTTGTATTTCACCACAGATGACAAATGGCTACTGGACACCATCAGAAGGTAAAAAGGATTCTAACATACCACAGCATTACCATACATGGCCAAAGTGAAACACAACGTCGATACAAAACCATATAAGTGAAACAATCAGACATTAAATAAATAGTTAAGACGCCTTTAGCCCCCACAAAATATATAGCATGAACTTTCAGTAAGCTTTTCCTATACATGTTTAACTGTTCATTAAGTCTCATATCAAATCCAATAGAATATGTCTGTCACAAACAATCAAGGACGCTTAAATTTTACCATGATTGATTTGGTCTGAAATTCTACAATAAATTATCTACTGCATACAACGTGTCGTATACACGGTGCTGCCATTTAGGCGCACACAGCTAGCACTCAGCGTTGTGATTCTATATAAAACGTGTCGTATTATATGGTTAATGTAAATTAACAATAACTTAATCTCTAGCATATTTACCAGGATGGGCATTTACTACTTTACCTATTATACAACGTAGCCAAAGGTTTGAGCGGCAGTGTTTTGATAATCTCCGGTCGGTACACTTCGAGCGGACCAATTATCGGCATTTCTCGCATCTAAAACAAATTAAGATATCATTTTTATTGTACCCTCTTTGACCACATGCTTATTTGTAATATGCTTAAATGTGTAAACATATGTGTATAGCCTTTATCGCTAAATTGTAACTTGAACAGCTGATTGATATTGTTAGACTTTTAACTTTTGTCCTTTATAGCGTAGTATCCATTCATGTTAGACCTGCTATGTAGTATAACAGTTTACGGATATGTCACCACTAACTGTGACATAAAAAGATTATTCTGAGTTTTGACGGAAATATCATTTTTGATCACATGTTAGAGTCAACTTTGTATGCATTGTTATGATAAGATTATAAAAGTATATAAAGAAATATGTAATACCAGGTAATCAGCTTAAGCAAATAAACATAATTCTCAAAGTCCATGAATACTTTTAGTGATATAACTGATTGGCAATTTACATATTATATTTCCTTTAATTATCTTTAGCAATACAAAAACGTCAGTTGTGTGGCGGTAACACAGACCACATTTTGAATTCCTTTGCTAAAATGGATTACAATATCTCTATTCCAAAATATTATTACTACTTTTTGCAGTAAAACAGTGTTGGCATAAATATAAGAATAAATCATTATATGCTAAACATTATGCTCCAGGAGGAAGGCATACGATTGAAATTAGAAAATGGAATACTAATGAAGTTAATTAGTATTGATACAGCCCTGATGATAAATCATTTGCACTAACAAGGTATTTAAATTGTATGACGGACAAAAGAAATATCTAATAAGGTATCTACGACCATTCAAACCGTTTTAAAATACAATTTTGACATTTAAATAATATGTGTTTACCATGTAAAGAGAATAGCAACCCGTTCTACTCCAGTTCCCCTGAAACAAACACTGAACATTTCTTGCAAAGTGGAATGTTCTGAAGCCATCTGAGTAGAGTGCCCGTAAGACCTGAAGGTGCTGCACGTACACAGACGCCTTGCTGTTAGCACTGATCCCATGGAAGGTTACCAACAGTTGCCGCACGTTCTTTAGTAGATCTTTTGTTAACATCCAAGACAATAACTGGACCTCGTCTCCCCCTATGTCGATCGTCATGTAATCAATATCACCCTGTAGATAAAAAACATTTAATTTGCAATCAAAGCTTACATGACATACAAGTTTCGTTTGATTATATTTTCAATAAAACTTTCCACTTCAGCATCGTAACATCGCTGGTAGCCTGATGAGCGATAGATAATCCATAACGACACTTATTATGTTTACAGGCGATCACCTATCGGTAAAACCTTACTTTTCGTGTACGACAGCTAACCCGTCACAATTATAACGGTAATTCGAATTTCTTTTGCAAATACATCTACATTCTTGAAAGAAACAAATGATGATTGCATAGACGGTACAGAGCAAGCAGTTATCAGTTTGGCCCAAGACAGACGAACGCTTTATCTTTTTCACGGTAATGGTTATCCTTATTTTAAAATGTTTCCGCTAATTTTGTCACGCCCTAATCTTTTGAGACATACACTGTAGTAGCATTTTATCCATTTGTCCCTGATTTATCACCATGTTTATCTATGTTTTTTCCTATCCTGTGACTAATATTAGCATTTGTAAACTTGTCCAACAAAATATTCTTTAATTAACCATAACAGTAATAGTTATTATCAATGTATTTTCTTATACATTAAGTATATATGAATTGTGAATTACACATGGTTACACAACTAACCTTTGACTTCAGCGTTGAAACTATAGAAGTGTCTTCGGTCACAGGAGAGTTTTGTGCAGCTACCATTGCACTGCAAATATCATGTTTCAGCTATAATAACAGTATCAACCTAACTCATTCAAAAAATATTCTCCTACCACATGTTTATATTACAACATATTGTCCATATCATAACCATTCACTCCTAAACTATTTCATGATTTCATTGACTCAATAAATAATAGGCTTAATCCTTTGAAGAGATTTATCTTAAAATTTACGAGATTAACGAAATATTATATCTATAAAATGTGTCGGAACGTTAAAAGACCGAATGGTCCCATTGCCTAGGTATTTCCAGCTAGGACTAAGTAGGACAACCCACTAAGTCATAGCTTGACCATGAAACCAGTCGGTCTTGCATGGCTGCGATGCTTTTGATAGTTCGACAGTGATAAAACAAGACATGTAGAAAATACATAAATGCATAGAACATATATATATAACACTGATACAGAAGATATGTATACACAACACTGATACATAGAAATGTAAATAACAAGAATACCTAAGAAATGTAAATAACATTGATACCTAAGAAATGTTTATACAACACTGATACATAAGAAATGTATATTTAACACTGGTACATAAGAAATGTATATAACACTGATACATAAGAAATGTATATATCACACTGATACCTAAGAAATGTTTATACAACACTGATACATAAGAAATGTATATTTAATACTGATACCTATGACATGTATATAACAATGGTACATAAAACATGTACAATGTATATATAACACTGATAAACAGGACATGTATATATAACAATGATACCTAAGACATGTATATAACAATGGTACATAAGACATGTATATATAACACTGATATCTAACACATGTATATAACAATGGTACATAAAACATGTACAATGTATATATATAACACTGATATATAAGACATGAATAAAACACTGATACCTAAGACATGTTTTTATAACACTGATATCTAAGACATGTATATAACAATGGTACATAAGACATGTATATATAACACTGATACCTAAGACATGTATATAATACTGATACATAAGACATGTATATAACAATGGTACATTAAACATGTACAATGTATATATATAACACTGATATCTAATAAATGTATATAACACTGATACCTAAGAAATGTATATATAACACTGATGCCTAAGAAATGTTTATTTAACACTTATAACTAATAAATGTATATAACACTGATACCTAAGAAATGTAAATAACACTTATAGCTAAGAAATATTCATATAACACTGATACCTAATACATGTATATTACACTGATACCTTAGACATGTTTATATAACACTGATACCTAAGTCATGTTTATAAAACACTGTTACCTAAGTCATGTTTATATAACACTGATACCTAAGAAATGTAAATAATACTGATACCTAAGAAATGTTTATATAACACTGATATCTAATAAATGTATATATAACACTTATACATCAGACATGTATATATAGCACTGATACCTTAGACATGTATATAACACTGATACCTAATACATGAATATTACACTGATACCTTAGACATGTTCATATAACACTGATACCTAAGAAATGTCTATATAACACCGACCTAAGAAATGTAAATAACACTGATACCTAAGTAATGTTTATATAACACTGATACTTAATACATAAATATAACACTGATACCTTAGACACGTTTATATAACACTGATACCTTAGACACGTTTATATAACACTGATACCTACGAAATGTAAATAACACTGATACCTAAGTCATGTATATATAACACTGATACCTAAGTCATGTATATATAACACTGATATCTAAGAAATGTAAATAACACTGTTTATATAACACTGATATCTAAGAAATGTATATATAACACGTATACATCAGACATGTAAAGATAGCACTGATACCTTAGACATGCATATAACACTGATACCTAAGACATGCATATAACTCTGATACCTAAGACATGTATATAACACTATACATCAGACACGTATATATAGCACTGATACCTTGGACATGTATATAACACTGATATCTTAGACATGTATATATAGCACTGATTCCCTAGACATATATATAACACTGATACCTTAACACTGATACCTAAGAAATGTAAATAACATTGATACCTAAGAAATGTTTATATAACACTGATATCTAAGAAATGTATATATAACACTGATGCCTAAGAAATGTTTATATAACACATGTATATATAACACTGATATCTAAGAAATGTATATATAACACTGATACATAAGAAATGTATATATCACACTGATACCTAAGAAATGTCTATATAACACCGACCTAAGAAATGTAAATAACATTGATACCTAAGAAATGTTTATACAACACTGATACATAAGAAATGTATATATCACACTGATACCTAAGAAATGTAAATAACACTTATAGCTAAGAAATATTCATATAACACTGATACCTAAGTCATGTTTATAAAACACTGTTACCTAAGTCATGTTTATATGACGCTGATACCTAAGAAATGTAAATAACATTGATACCTAAGAAATGTTTATATAACACATGTATATATAACACTGATACCTTAACACTGATACCTAAGAAATGTCTATATAACACCGACCTAAGAAATGTAAATAACACTGTTTATATAACACTGATATCTAAGAAATGTATATATAACACTGATACCTTAGGCCTGTTTATATAACACTGATACCTACGAAATGTAAATAACACTGATACCTAAGTCATGTATATATAACACTGATATCTAAGAAATGTATATATAACACTGATGCCTAAGAAATGTTTATTTAACACTTATAACTAATAAATGTATATAACACTGATATCTAAGAAATGTATATATAACACTGATGCCTAAGAAATGTTTATATAACACTGATAGGTAATAAATGTACATAACACTGATACCTAATAAATGTATATTACACTGATACCATAGACATGTTTATATAACACAGATACCTAAGTCATGTTTATAAAACACTGTTACCTAAGTCATGTTTATATGACGCTGATACCTAAGAAATGTAAATAACATTGATACCTAAGAAATGTTTATATAACACATGTATATATAACACTGATATCTAATAAATGAATATAACACGGATATCTAAGAAATGTAAATAACACTGATTCCTAAGATATGTATATAACACCGATACCTAAGACATGCATATAACTCTGATACCTAAGACATGTATATATAACACTCATACCTAAGACATGTATATAATACTGATACCTAAGACATGTATATATAACACTTATGCATAAGACATGTATATATAACACTCATACCTAAGACATGTATATAATACTGATACCTAAGACATGTATATATAACACTCATACCTAAGACATGTATATAACACTATACATCAGACATGTATATATAGCACTGATTCCCTAGACATATATATAACACTGATACCTTAGACACGTTTATATAACACTGATACCTACGAAATGTAAATAACACTGATACCTAAGTCATGTATATATAACACTGATATCTAAGAAATGTAAATAACACTGATTCCTAAGATATGTATATAACACTGATACCTAAGACATGCATATAACACTGATACCTAAGACATGTATATAATACTGATACCTAAGACATGTATATATAACACTGATACCTAAGATATGTATATAACACTGATACCTTGGAAATGTATATAACACTGAAACCTATGACATCTTTATAACACTGATACCTAAGACATGTATATATAACACTGATACCTGAGAAATGTGTATTTAACAATGCTACCTAAAAAATGTACATAACACTAATACCTAAGAAATGTATATAACAATGATACCTAAGACATATATATATAGCATAGATACCTAAGTCATGTATATAACACTGATATCTTAGACATTTATATAACACTGATACCTAAGTCATGTATATAACAATGATATCTTAGACATTTATATAAACTCAGATACATAAGACATGTATATACCACTGATACCTAAGACAGGAATATAACACTGATACCTAAGACATATATATAGCATAGATACCTAAGTCATGTATATAACAATGATATCTTAGACATTTATATAAACTCAGATACATAAGACATGTATATACCTAAGACATATATATATATAATTGATACCTGAGAAATGTATACAACACTGATACCTAAGTCATGTATATAAACTCTGATACCTAAGACATGTATTTATAACACTGAAACCTAAGACATGTATATATAAAACTTATACCTAAGACATGTATATAACACTGATATCTTAGACATGTATATAAACTCTGATGCCTAAGACATGTATTTATAACACTGATACCTAAGAAATGTGTATATAACACTGTACCTAAGACATGTATATCTAACACTGATACCTAAGACATATATATATATATAATTGATACCTGAGAAATGTATACAACACTGATACCTAAGTCATGTATATAACACTGATATCTTAGACATGTATATAAACTCTGATGCCTAAGACATGTATTTATAACACTGATACCTAAGAAATGGGGATATAACACTGTACCTAAGACATGTATATCTAACACTGATACCTAAGACATATATATATATATATCTTAGGTATCAGTGTTAGATATACATGTCTTAGGTACAGTGTTATATACCTAAGAAATGGGTATATAACACTGTACCTAAGACATGTATATCTAACACTGATACCTAAGACATATATATATATATAAATGATACCTGAGAAATGTATACAACACTGATCCCTAAGTCATGTATATAAACTCTGATACCTAAGACATGTATATATAACACTGATACCTAAGACAAGTATATAACACTGATACCTAAGAAATGTCTATATAACACCGATATCTAAGACATGCATATAACACCGATACCTAAGTCATGTATATAACACTGATATCTTAGACATGTTTATAAACTCTGATGCCTAACACATGTATTTATAACACTGAAACCTAAGACATGTATATATGAAACTTATACCTAAGGCATGTATATAGCACTGCCCTCTTAGCCATGTTTATAAACTCTGATGCCTAACACATGTATTTATAACACTGAAACCTAAGACATGTATATATGAAACTTATACCTAGGGCATGTATATAACACTGATATCTTAGACATGTTTATAAACTCTGATGCCTAACACATGTATTTATAACACTGAAACCTAAGAAATGTGTATATAACACTGTACATAAGACATGTATATCTAACACTGATACCTAAGACATATATATATATAATTGATACCTGAGAAATGTATACAACACTGATACCTAAGTCATGTATATATAACACTGATACCTAAGACATGTATTTATAACACTAAAACCTAAGACATGTGTATAACACTGATATCTTAGACATGTATATAAACTCTGATGCCTAAGACATGTATTTATAACACTGATACCTAAGAAATGGGTATATAACACTGTGCCTAAGACATGTATATCTAACACTGATACCTAAGACATATATATATATATAATTGATCCCTGAGAAATGTATACAACACTGATACCTAAGTCGTGTATATAAACTCTGATACCTAAGACATGTATTTATAACACTAAAACCTAAGACATGTGTATAACACTGATATCTTAGACATGTATATAAACTCTGATGCCTAAGACATGTATTTATAACACTGAAACCTAAGACATGTATATATGAAACTTATACCTAAGGCATGTATATAACACTGATATCTTAGACATGTTTATAAACTCTGATGCCTAACACATGTATTTATAACACTGAAACCTAAGAAATGTGTATATAACACTGTACCTAAGACATGTATATCTACACTGATACCTCAGACATATATATATATAACTGATACCTGAGAAATGTATACAACACTGATACCAAAGTCATGTATATAACACTGATACCTAAGACATGCATATAACACTGATACCTAAGAAATGTATATAACACTGATACCTAAGACATTTATATAAAACTGATACCTAAAACATGTATATAACACTGATACCTAAGTCATGTATATAAACTCGGATACCTAAGACATGTATATATAACACTGATACCTAAGAAATGTTTATATAACACTGTACCTAAGACATGTATATATAACACTGATACCTAAGACATGTATATATAACACTGATATCTAAGACATGAATATATAACACTGATATCTTAGACATTTATATAAACTCTGATACCTAAGACATTTATATAAAACTGTGCACATCACATATATATATATAACAGTTACCCAAGACAAATATATATATAATTGATACCTGAGAAATGTATACAACACTGATACCTAATAAATGTATATTACACTGATACCTTAGACATGTTTATATAACACTGATAACTAAGACATGTATATATAACACTGTTACATAAGACATGTATATACCACTGATATCTAAGACATGTATATATCACCCTGATACCTAAGAAATGTAAATAATACTGATACCTAAGAAATATTTATATAACACTGTACCTAAGCCATGTATATAACACTAATACCTAAGTCATGTATATAACACTTAAACTCGGATACCTAAGACATGTTTATATAACACTGATATCTAAGACATGTATATTAGACATTTATATAAACTCTGATACCTAAGACATTTATATAAAACTGTGCACATCACATATATATATATAATTGATACCTGAGAAATGTATACAACACTGATACCTAAAAAATGTATATATAACACTTATACCTAAGAAATGTATATAACACTGATATCTTAGGCATTTATAAAAACTCTGATGCCTAAGACATGTACTTATATCACTGAAACCTAAGACATGTATTTATAACACTGATACCTAATAAATGTATATATAACACCGATATCTAAGACATGTATATATACCACTGATATCTAAGACATGTATATATCACCCTGATACCTAAGAAATGTTTATATAACCCTGATATCTAATAAATGAATATAACACTGATACCTAATAAATGTATATAACACTGTACCTAAGCCATGTATATAACACTTAAACTCGGATACCTAAGAAATGGATATATAACACTGATCCCTAAGACCTGTATATATAACACTGTTACATAAGACATGTATATATAGCACAGATACCTAAGTCATGTTTATATAACACTGATAACTAAGACATTTATATAAAACTGTGCACATCACATATATATATATAACAGTTACCCAAGACAAATATATATATAATTGATACCTGAGAAATGTATGCAACACTGATACCTAAGCCATGTATATAACACTGATAACTAAGACATGTATATTAGACATTTATATAAACTCTGATGCCTAAGACATGTATTTATAACACTGATACCTAAGTCATGTATATATAACACTGATCCCTAAGACATGTATATATAACACTGATATCTAAGACATGTATATATAACACTGATACCTAAGACATGTATATATAACACTGATACCTAAGACATGTATATAACACTGATACCTAAGTCATGTATATAACACTGATACCTCAGACATGTTTATATAACACTGATACATAAGACATGTATATACAACCCTGATACCTAAGTCATGTATATATAACAATGATACCTAAGTCATGTTTATATAACACTGATACCTAAGTCATGTATATATAACACTGATACCTAAGAAATGTATATATAACACTGATACCTAAGACATGTATATATAACACTGATACCTAAGACATGTATATA